CCGCCATATATATATATATATATATGTACAGGGAGCAAACTTTCGAGATTTTCCTGGTGTTGTAGTTGGCCCCAATAATGTGGTGGAGTTTGATCCCCAAGTTGAACGGGTTTTTCTTCCTTCAGGGAGTCCTCTGGTAAAATTTCTTATCTATATATTTATTTTATGGCGCAATTATACAAAGACCACCCCAAACTTGCTATTTACAAACGAACCATTCTCTTTCATCCTTTCTTAAATTCTCACTCAATAAATTATAAATCAACTCTTATTTTCATTTTTATAAACTTCTCAATAGTTTGATCGTGGCACGCATAAATACATTAGTTTTGAAGTTCAAACAAAATCACATGAACGGTTAATTTGTAAATATCAATGTTTCGGACGGCTTGTATGTAATTATCTCTTATTTTATTTATATATTAATCTAAATTTATCCACAATTTTTTTTTTTTTTTTTTGGGTGCAGGTTCCTGACTATGCTATGTCATATATCAAGGGGAAGTCTCCAAAGTAGGTTTTAATATATTTATAAATCATCAAAAAATCTTTTGCAGAAAATGTTTTTTTTTGGTTGATTTATATTTCTTGTTCGAATAGGCCTTTTGGACGGCTATGGTGGGATGAGACTGTACCTACTGTAGTAACCAGGGCAGAACCCCACAATCAGGTAAAATGGTTCTGACCGTTAAGGTGAAATTGTTTTTTTTAAAGGTAGGGTTAAATCTAGAGGTGCAAACGAGCCAAACACGAGCGAGCCCAGGCTCAACTCGTGTTCGGCTCGTTTATATTTCGAGCTCAAAAAGTATGTTTGTGTTGGGCTCGTTTGCTTAGTGAGCGGAATGCGAGCCGTTCACGAACAAAGAACCGTTTTGACAACCCTAATCACATTATCATAAGATATTAAGGATTATGACAAGATTTAAAAATTATTGTTTATATTAAAACATCATTTAAATCTAATTTAGTAATTTTTATTCTATTTTTTTAATTATTACTTTTAATTGATTATAAATCTTTGTAGCCTTGTAGTCAATTAAATTTTTTTAAAATACTACTAATCAATATATATATATATATATTTGATTAGTAGTATTTCGAGCCAAAACGAGCTGAACACGAATGGACAAATCTTTGTTCGTGTTCGGCTCACTAACTTAGCGAACGAGACAAACACGAGCTGTTCGCGAACAACGAGCCATTTTGACAGCCCCAGTTAAATCTGCAATAATTTAATTTGTCTGGACTTTTCTGCTCAAGGTTCCTTCTCTTTTTCTCCGTGCAGATTATTTTACACCCTGAGCAGGACAGGGTGCTAACCATAAGAGAAAATGCCCGGCTTCAGGGATTTCCTGATCACTATAAACTCTGCGGTCCCCTGAAAGAGAGGTAACATTTCATATATTTATTTAAAAATAAATATATTTATTTTTAAAAATACAAAATTTTTTTTTTTAAAATAATAGAAAATAAAGAAATTGTTTTTTTTTTTAAAATAAAATGGGCAGGTATATACAAGTGGGCAATGCAGTGGCTGTGCCAGTGTCAAGGGCTCTTGGTTATTCGCTAGGCCGTGCATTTCAAGGTAAAGGTGGGGATGATCCCACCTTCATTCTCCCTACAAATTTCCCACACTTTGGTGCAGGTGCTGGAGAAACAATTAATTAACCCTTGCTTCAGAAAAATAAAATAAAATAAAATAATTATTATATTTTATTTTTTTAATGATATTTTTGAATTATAAAACTTATTTCATAATTTAATATCTTGAATGTATCTTTGGCTCAACAAAGTGTTGCATGATTATAGACTAATTTGTCTTTTTTTTTGTTGGATGGCTAATTATTTTATGATTTATTTAATTTAAATACATGGGTTTGTTAGTTAAAAAGTTATTATTGGGTACTCATTTTATAAATAATAAAGTTTTGGGGATTATATGTAATATTCCCTTTCTATTAATGACACTTTATTAAAAAAAAAGGTAAGGGTATTTAGTTTGGTGCTTTATCTTTCTTTCATAACATTTTGAGTTCATTCTTTAGGACAAGATTTATGTCATAACATTTTGAGTTCATTCTTTAGGGCATGATTTATGCATGAGTGAAAAAAAAGGAATAATTTCTAACTTCTAATTACAATTAGAGGTGTTTGCTTAATTAAAATAGAAATAAAATATTTCATTTATGTCAATTTAATTTATGGCTTTAGGTTCCTTATGTGTAGTAGCTATTGTTGTATTTTTTAATATTTTTGCTTAAACCACCTAGATTATCTAATTTGTTGGTTCTATTAGTTATCCTAAACAAAGTATTCAACTTTGTTTATTTTATTTATTTTAGTAATTATAAGTTTTGTTTTTATTGACTAGTTTTGTATTTAAATATCTTATTTTCTCAAAAATAAAGTAAGCCTCATTTAAGAGACGTACCTGTTTTTAGGAATCATGCTTGTGGCTCAACCACAAATGTCCTAGCTTGGCCATTCTTGCCTCCATCTATTAGAATTCCTACAAGTGTTTCTAATATAGGAACATATATAATATTATTAAAGATTTGTATATTTACACATTTGCCCTTCATTGTATTTACTTCATGGCCATTCTTGGGTCTATAAATATGACCCGCCCCTTTACTGAATAAGTGCATATAATATAATCTTGTTTAATTTCTTTCTCTTCACCCATTCTTGGGTCTATAAATATGACCCGCCCCTTTACTGAATAAGTGCACATAATATAATCTTGTTTAATTTCTTTCTCTTCACCTTTTTATTCTTTGGTTTATCGTGGTATCGGAGCAATAGTCATACCACATCAAGTTTCATGGATCCTTCTCCTTCAACATCTTCACATCTTTCACAACAATCAATTGATTCCTTTAACAAGGTAAGAGAAATTAGCATCCCTCCTTCTCTAAAGTTTTTTATGATAAGTGTCAACAATGTGGTAAACTCTCTTAAGTATGAGAATTATGCCATTTGGAAAGTTCAAGTCAAGAAACATTTTCTTGCTGATGGATTTGAATCATTTATTGATTCTACCATTACTCCTTCCAAATATTCTCAAGATATCATCACTGCTCATGTTGATAATCACAATTATCAACTATGGAAGTTAGTGGATCAAGGCCTCGCTGTTGCAATTTTTTTTGACAATATTTGCTTATGTTTTACCCTATGTTCTTCACCTCAACACAACGGTAGAAATATGGAGTTACAAAATAGAGTGATACAACTCAAAAATGAGTTACATAACATCAATGTAGGACACAATTTTATGACACAATATCTTACAACAATCAAGACCATGGTTAACAACATAGCTGTTGTTGGAACCACCACAGGCAAAGAAGATATTATACCTTATACTCTTAATGGGTTGCCTTTTACATATCAAGGATTCAAAGCGACAATCAAAACTCACAGTCAGATCTCTTTTGTTAGAAGAATTCTATGCCCTACTACATATTGAAGAAAGAAACTTAATGAATGAAAGTTTCAGGAAATCTACTCACCAGACTTTGTTCCACCTCAAGAACAAGAATTCCACATTTAAATTGCAATCCAAATCAAATGTCAATCAAAATAACCCATCAACTAGCAGTAGCATTACCAAGACTTGAGTTATCATCATTTGTCAAATTTGTCACAAGAATGGTCATACTGTTGAAAATTGTTGTCACCGCACAAATCTTTAGTATAAACCGACTATACAAATGCCTTTATTACAGTGCCTAAAAACCAAGAATGGATACTTGGCTAGAGCAACATCTCATCTCACTCTTAGAGCAACATCTCATCTCACTCTCTACAATGAGAACATCAATTATCCTCAGCCATATACTGGTTAGGATAAAATTGTTGTTGGCAATTGCCAATCAACAGAAATATCTCATGTTGGTGCAGAGTTACTACCTACACCAGATTGTAAGTTATTTCTTTCATCAATTTTTTAAGCCCATCAAATTTCACATAATTTACTTAGCCAAAGGCTATAACTTCTATATTATTTTTGATGCTAATGGATTTCTTATACATGATTGAATTACTAAGAAAACACTTCTACTCTGCCTTGCTCTTAATGGTTTATACCCAATTAAGGCCTTTACTACTTTCTAGCATATTGAAGTTTGATATAACAGGCTGGGGCATCCACATGAAAATCTTACAACAAATAGCTCACATGAATCCCCACCTTCATATGTCAACAATAAATATTATCTGTATTCCATGTAGTCAAAATAAAAGTCATAAAATGCCTTTTGTTTTGAGAACAACTAAATATAATCTTTTGGATATGTTACATACCAATGTTTGGGGTTTTTTTTGCTCACCCCTCCCTTAACCTCTTCAAATATTATGACACATTTATCTATGATTTTTCCTATTCTCGTTGGTGTTTTTTGTTGCACACTAAATCCGACGTCACTTCCTATTTTATTACTTTGCACAAACAAATACAAAATCAATTCATATAAACATTAAATTTTTACGATTGGATGGTGTATATGAATATCAAAATACTCACCTTCAAACATTTCTTTCCAATAATGGTATTTACACACTTGAAGAAAATAATATAGCTGAAAGAAAAAATAGACACATCATAGAAACTCCTTTAACTTATTTAAATCATGCAAAATTATCTACAAAATTGTAGTTTGCTGCAGTTGCACTGCAATTTACCTTATAAATAGACTCCCTTCACCCAACATAATATTTCTCCTTTTTAACATCTTTTTAAGCAACCACTTGATTATTAACATCTTTGCACTTTTGGTTGAACCCACTTTCCATGGCAACCTCCCAGCCACACACAAATTCACTCCTAAAGCACCCTAGTGCATTTTCTTAGGTTATATCAAACAACACAAAGGCTATAATTGTTTTGACCTCCTCAACAGCGAAACATTGTTTCCCGTCATGTTAAATTCATAGAATTTCAATTTCCCTATCTCAATCTCACTCCGCTCCAACACTCTAATAACCATTCTCATACAAACATACCACCATCTATATTGATTCCTACATCTACTCTTTCCAATACATCTAACACCACAACCACTTCATCTTCCTCACTAGCTATTTCCACATTTCCACACCAATCTCTATCGCTCCCCCTTCTATCTCTCTCTCTATGATTACTAGATCTAAAATAGGTCCTTTAAAACCTCTCACAATATTTAAACTTTCTCATCAACAACTATCAGAAACACCTATCTTTTTCAAACAAGATTGTGCCCAAACCCACTGGAAAAAAACCATGTCTGAAGAATTTCTAGCATTGCAACAACAAGCCACATGGATTTTAGTTCCCCCACCTCTCAATCGAACCATTCTTGGTTGTAAATGGATTTATCGTATTAAGCATCACATTGACGGTTCAATTGGTTACTATAGAGCTTGCTTTAATCTTTAAGCACAACATGGCATTGATTATCATAAAACCTTCAGTCTAGTCGCAAAATTCTCCACAATTGATATGCTAATTACATTAGCCCCTACGAAAAATTGGGAAATTCAGCAACTAGACATATCCAATGCATTCTACATGGGCATCTTGATGATACCATTTATTTTCTATTATTTTTATAGCATAAATCATAACATATATTATTATAATTTATAAGATATTTTATCAGATATTGAGTTATTATAAAATAAATTGCACAAAAATAATAATATCTTTCTAAATGACATCAGTTAACCAACCAATTGAGCTCAAATTATGGAGGTAATTGAATCAAAATAGAATTCGTTAAGACATCTCTTAAATTTTTAGAAAATAAAAGTTAAGTTCACTAGGCACCCTTTATATTGTTGGAATCGATAATGCATCTCTAAAATAAAGAGCAAAATGAGCCCCTTTTTTAAAGATAAACCGTATCTAAATTTCATCTCAGTTTTATTAATATATGTGGTTAAAATGTGATTGTGATCAAATAAGGTGTCATCTAAGGTTGGCATCTGATTACTTGCCATTTTTGTCAAGTCTTCAATCATGAAAATGTGACATGCTCTCCTACAACCCCTTTAAGACTAAATTACTTTTATTGCTTCCTATGAAAAAAGAAAAAAAACAAAAATTTGTATATTATGCATAGTCATGCCTATAATAAATAACCATAAATTTTTTCTTACACATAATACTTAATAGAAGTCTCCATTGGCTCATCTTTTATCTCTCTCAAAACAATAATGAATCTCAAATCTCAATTACGAATTGATTTTCCATGCCCTATAAGTCTTTAGATACACATATTCTTTGGTCCTCTCAACATACACCTCCATATGTACCACTAGATTATCACAAAGAGAAACCCCTCTCCTTATGCCCTACATTATAATAACAACATGGAATGTAAAGGCTTTAATGGTGAGAATTTGTTCCCTAAATGTAAAAACCTTAATCAAATTACATTAACCTCTTTTGCCTATTAAAATTTACTTTGGTGCTTTGTAGTAGACCCTCTTGGTGTTTATAAGGTTTCATATTTATCAAAATGAAGGTAGTTGTTACAAATTACTAATCTCTTATGGTAAGCGTATTTAAATTGAATAAGACTCTTTCTTAAAATTTTCTTATCTCTAGTTATCATGAATATATCCATTAAATGGTTAAATTTTATATCTTAACTTCTCATTATTTTTGTTCAAGCGAAAAATGGCTACTCGAAAAAAATTATGAGTAACTTCCTTTTTTAAAGTTTGTCATAAATTTTGAAAGACTCTAACTATATTAGGTTGCTAAGGAGATAATGGATAGTAACACTGCTACTATAAATAATTGATGAGTTTCAATAATTTCTATTTTCTAGTTAGTTTCTTAAATCTTCGAAACTTAGTTCAATGACTGACAAAATTCTTGTATCTTACACATAATTGAAATAATAATTTACAACTATTGGTATGATATTTCAAGATTATTTCTCATTAATATAATATTTCTTCACTTCTCAGATTAAGATCACTCCTCTTTTTTCTTCTAACTGTTTCCTATTTATTTCTTGTCCTGGTATGGGCCCCTTCCACAATGACAAGCTTATGTTCAAGAA